GGTTTCGTCAAGACCAGGTCCTCATTCAGCACAGATTCTGGGTCCACTGAAGCTTATACAACATCAGAACCTTCAGAGACAGGGCCACTGTTCCTCCCATAAGTAATAGAGGAAATGTTCATTTGTTTCAGTCTACTATCTCTACTTTTTCTTTCTGATTGAATGCAAAAATGTCTCAATTTTTGGGCAGGGGATTTAGCTCAGTGGTTCTGCCACCTGCCTCGCAAGCGCAAGGACCAGAGTTCGATCCCCGGTACCAAAGAAAAAAAAAAAAAAGAAAAACGTCTCAATTTTCAAAATTTTATATGGCACTGTGACATTCAATTTGAACTTCCTAAAGAACTTTCCATTCCCAAAGTCTTGGTTTCTATTCATGAAGATCTAAGAAACAGATGGTAATTATCAACTCAGGGAAATCCCAGTCTGCAGTAGTGTTCCTTATTCAAAACTCCCACTACTAAGAATATAAAATAATCAATGTTTGGGCTGGGGATTTAGCTCAGTTGTTTCGCTGCCTGCTGCGCAAGCAGAAGGATCAGAGTTCAATCCCCAGTACCAAAAAAAAAAAAATAATAATCAGTGTTCATTTGTGCATTGTTTGTGCTGAAACCTCTCCCTCCTCTTTTCTCCATCTCTCTTACTCTCACCAAGAAGCTATAATTCCTCATTTTTTAAATGAGGAACTGGGACAAATACTAATAATATAGTCGTTACCCACTTTCTAACTTATTTATATTAATTTTTCTTAAAAGAGATCCAATAAGGTGGTAGTTAGTGTACTGGCTAGGATACTTGGGGACACAAATAATAGTAGAAAATTATATTAGTTAGCGTAAAGTTTGTCTGTGGATAATAGTAATACCACAAATAACACTGGCTTTAATAAGATAGAAGTTTATTTTTCTCTTACTAAAGTCCAGAGGTAATTAGTTCAGAGCTGTTACGGAGGTTCAACTATGTGACTTCCACAGGAACCTTGGCTTCTTTGGCCCAGCCACCCTCAACTCTATGAACTCCTTCTTCATGGTCCAAGATGGCTTCCCCAGGCAAGTTGACAGCCAAGCCAGCAGTTTTCGGGACAGGACAAAAAATATCACTCCCTTCCCTTTTAATGTCATTTTCTCAAACAGCACACAACACTTCTACTTACATCCCATTGGCAAAAACTCAGTTGCAAGAAAGCTGGGAATTATCTTTATTATGGGAGTTCACGTGAACAACTAAAATGTGGAGCTTCCATTGATGAAGACAGTAGGACAAAGTGGTTTGAGGATAGCTAGCATTCTTTACTACTAAACTCAAAGGAGACTTAGAATCTCACAGAACAAGAAGTATCCAGGGGCAATGCAAGCAGGCTATCAGCTCTAGTTTCTCTTTGCAGTACTCTAAGTATCACCTTTGTCTTTTAGCTAGTTTCCCTCTGCTTGTTAATATTAAAAACAGTCAAGTGTGATGGAGCAGGCCTGTAATTCCAGCACTGGGAGGCTGAGGCAGGAGGGTCACCAGGTTCAAGGCCAGTCTATATAATGATGCCCTATCTAAAAGAAAAAAAGTTTAAAAACAGTTCATGAATCACATTAAGAAACAGTGAAGAAGGATGTTGGGTTGACATCCAACCATGTCTAGCTTTTTCATCACAATGTACTGCCATTACTAGACAGATAATATGTACCATAAAATACACAGTCAAAATTATCCGGATAGATCAGACCAGCTCTTATGTCCATCTCTCACCAACAAATGATAACTGAATAAAAAGCAGGTCTGTGGACTAGTTCTACACATCTAGACTGTGCAGACCTCACACAGGTCCAGTTCCCACTCTCCACCTGGGCCGTGGGGACTTCACTGAGACACTGTCATCAGCACACAGCCACCTAAGTCACCCTTTACTACCTGAGAGAAGCACATGTGGTTTCTAAGGCAAAATTCTTTTTTTTTTTTTTTGGTACCAGGGATTGAACTCAGGTCCTTGAGCTTGCACAGCAAAAATTCATTTTTTTATTTTATAATTATTGATGAGTTCAGAAGAAGCCACTGGGCCCTTTACAGTGTGTGGTTGACTGTGCAATCGTGAATCCAGGGAAAGAACAATTTTCCCAACTATTTGCTGCTAGCAAGCCTAGAAGGGAAAGAACAATATTCCTTAACTATCTGCTGCTAGCAGGCCTAAAAGTGTCCACTGGCCCCAATCAGGATCTGTGTACCACCACTCTCAGCTGCAGCCCTGACTTTCCAGTTCTTTTATGACCCGCTCTTTACAGGGCTTGTTATATGGGAGAGTTTCAGGTTTGTTTCCTTTTTGATTTATTAAAAATTCAACAGTAACTTTTAAAAGGAAATAAAATGATTGCTTAAACAGGAAAACACATAGTGTGCGTGTGTGTGTGTGTGTGTTTAAATAAAGGTCAATTTTAGCCATGCCAAAAGTTTTAAAAGAAAAAAAAAAGCAGCATAAAAGGAGCATCTTAAATTGGTCTTTTGATGCCTGGATTGTATAAGTTTTCTTCCTCATTAAAGGAAAATCTTTTGAGATCAATGTTAAAAGCATCTCTAAAGACTGACAGATGATGTGGTTACAAGTTGGGCTCAGTACCATTTATTAATAGAAGCATCTTATCACTGGAAGTTACTGAAAGTCCTCTAGAAACAATCCTAAAAAATTATTACCTTCTAAGAAATACAAGTGTGATCACAATCTTCAAAACTAATTCCTTTAAAAATTAAGTAACTCCTTAACACATCTGGTATCTTTTTACCTAGAGATTGACGAAACACCAAGAAAAAGTATATTTTCAAAACAGCCACATGGTACAGATCACGATTAACACAAAATTTTGAGGCAGACAAAGTAAACGGTAGCTGTTAAATGCTTCATCTAAAACTGTTGATTGACTCATTAGCATACTGGAAGTATAGCTGCTTAAAATACATCCAAAGTACAGCTTAAAAACCGCAAAGTATATAGACTAGTTATTTTCCTTGTTAGCAAAGTATATCAGACTCAAAAGAAAGTCATTGCTTCAGCTACAGGAATTTTTGAACCCATATTTCACTTACGAGAAACAGGTCAAAAAATTGAGTTTAAACTTTACCATCCTACCTCCAATTGCTTTGCTTACAACAAAAGCCTGAGAATATATACAGGCTAAAAGATGAATAGAGGAGCAAAGGCAGGATTATAGTTTTGTTCAGACCTGAGGCTTCAAACCATCAAGAAATCACAGCCCCATGATCATCATTTGCTCACGCATGAGCAATTCACAACACCATGCGTTTTTCCAAGGTTCTTTTCTCTTTTGGCAAGGCTACTGCTCTCACACGAAGCAATGTTTCATTTCTTCTGGAGGTATTTTAACTTTAACTCTTCTCTTTCCTCTCCCACAACACATACCTAAAAAGTGCCCTTCCAAATATAGAGAGGAGATAAATGTATAAAAATCTGGTGTTGTCATGAGTGTCACACAATCAGCTCTAGTTTTAGCCATTCAAATGCATTCGTGAAAAGTTTGTCATGTGCCCTACCTTGTATTTTTATATATGCAGTACTGTAACTAGGTTTCAGAATAAAGAACAGAATACATTTTCCTACGTGACTACAATACTTGCACCAGTCATAACAACTGTCATGACCTTGAAGACTTCAAGCCAAATTAATGCCTCCATTGCTGGACTTCAGATGATGGGCTATGAATGGGTTTTCTTCCACCTTAAGTGTTCCTAAACTTTCCAGTAAAACCAAGTCTTACAGTGTGATAAATAATTTTGCTAACAACCATATACAAACTTTTTCTTACCGTGTTCTGCTACATCTCTCAGCCCTACATACCAGTGAAAACAAGCATACAGCCAAATTCTTAAGACTGGGGAAGGCTTGGTTGGCTAAATAAAACATCCATCTTTTTCTCCTTTTAATAAACAACAGCAAGGGGATATGTGTCCAAGTTCTATCCCCTAATAGTATGGGTTACTGATAACCTTTTACCTCCAGGAGGACGAAAGAAGGAATCTGGAAAATCAGTGACAGTACACTGCGTTTTAAGTGCCCTGACTTGACATCCTTTTAAAATAGTTTTAAATATTGCAGTGACTGAAAACAAATATGGAACAAAGGCACCAAACAAATGTTGACCTCTTAAGAACTAAGATGTACATGAGGTATTAGGAATAACTTGACTATTTCTTTAAAGAATTGGAGTAAACTAGCTTAATAACTAATTTAAAAGGTATTTCTGAAGTCACTGTGGTGGGGGGGAGGCACACATACACTAAATTCACAAGATAACCAAATGTCAGGTAGTAGTGAGGGTAAGTTTCAGGTTAGAAATCCACCGAGAGATAAAGAGTCATGACTTCCTGCAGTTTCAGTTCAATTTGGTGTTTTTCTTCTGCCTCTACATCTTCACTGAGTAACTATCTCTGTCGATCTCCCAAAACGAAGTTTCTCTCCATCTGCAACCTGGGCGACTGTTACAAAACACACCAAGGTTCCTCTTTTGCTTCCCCACCCACCCCACCCCCGGCTCCGAGGAGGGAAGGGAACCATACAACCTGGAAACGCAACGATACTGTCCTTTCTGTGTCTGATGAAATCGTCCCGCAAGCGGTATGAGTTCAAGGGAAGCTAAGGTCCGCACCGCAACCCGGCTAACATTGCACGGAGGGAAATTCTGCTTTACAGAGCGGGAATCCCCCCGGGAACTCTCTGGAAACAAGGGATCTTCCCACTATTATTTGCAGAAACTGCTCAGAATTAGGTTCCGAGCCAGGTACCAGAGGAGAGGTGTTTCCGGGAGGGAGCAGAGCGGACGCCCGGGCGGGTGGAGCCGAGCGGGCGAGTCGCCGCTCCCAGCATCCGGCACCTGCCGGTTCCAAGCGTCCCGTGGCGCTTCCCAAACATCCCCTCCCGGGCCCGGGCCCCCGGCCTCTGGCCCCAGCTCCCGAGTCTACGCAGGAAAGCTGGGGCGCGAGGCTGAGCCCCGGCCCCGCGGCGGCAGTACCTCGGATGTAGGCGCACTTGCCCTCGTCCAGCTGGCTGGAGGCGGAGCCGCCCATGGCCGCGAAGCCGCCGGGTAGGACCCACCGCGCCTCACGCCCCGCTGCTCGCTCCCGAAGGCTGAGGCGGCCGGGAACCCCGCTCCGTAATTAAAGGGCAAACTTCCTCGAGAGGCGTCGCCTGCTAGGGCGCCTCCTCCCGGCCCGCGGCCTGCTAGGCTCTGTGGGCTGGCCCGGGGCGGCCTCCCGCCTCCCGCGCTTCTGAGCCCCGGGCTGTGTGACCACGAGGCCTCCCCGCTCCTTCTCCTCGCCGACTTTTGTCTCTCCGCACCAGTTGTGGGGAAACAGAGAAACATCTTGGAGAAAGCAGACCGTTTGCCAGGTGGCCTCTGAGAGCGGGAACCTTCCCACTCATCCCCCAGGTGGGCCTCGAGATCCCAACGCTGAAGGGGACAGGGGGATGGGGCGAGTAAAAAGAATTAGGATGCGTGATGTTCATGCACCAACTCCCCACGATGAATGTGATCATATGTACTACAAACGTGTACTAATAAAATTTCTTAAATTTTATTTTTTTTAAAAATCCCATTGTTTTGCTCGCTTTCCTATACAAGAAGAACCAGTTGTCAAGCACCTCCTGAGAACCTATTAGAAATGCAAAATCTCGGCGCCCTCCCCTTCCACCCCTGCGCGCGCGCGCTCACACACACACACACACACACACACACACACACACACACACACACACGCAGTGCTGCGCCCCAGTTAGAAACTGGGGGGCGAGGGGGGCAGTCTGTTTTCAAAGGCCCTCCAGGA